GAATGGTAAACATGTAAGTTTTGAAAACTTCCACTTTGAAATGTTCTGCTAATGAATCAATATCATCAGAAAAGCTATTTTATTTCTCATAACAAACCTTTTTATGCTAGCAAAACAAAACAAAGAACGAGTTTCACGTTAAGCAACCAAATGCTTGATTTTATTCTAATTACATTTTTGTCTCACTTTTTCTGATGATGCCAATTCACTGATGAAGCATTTCAAATTACAGTTTTCCAAAATGTCTTCTAGATTTACCATTCTGACAGATTCTCAACCAACTTGTATACACACCACTTTAAAAAAAAAAAAAAAAAGAAACAAAGTTTAAAATGCCACTTGAGTTTTTTTGCTAGGGTGAAACTTGTGTATCAGCATGAACTTTGACCTTTTTTTTTTTTTTTTAAAAGTCGTGTCAGCAGGTTGTGAAGTGTCTGTGTTTTGGTCAGGTAGACATTAAACACTTTCTACTATTGTATAGGTGGGGGGGGTCTACCGTTTGGTCTTTCTTTTTTGGTTTGTTTCTCTTTCCAGTTTGTCTTTTTTTTTTTTTTTTTTTGTCACTTGGCAGGTTTTGTATTGGTTTTATCCAATACTTTAGTTTGTTTTATACATATTCACTCCTGTAGTTCAGTGCTACTAACAAGCAGAATTTTTTTTCTTTCTCCTGATGATGGCCATACTGGCTGAAACTAGTTGAGGAACTTAATTGAAATAATAAAACAAAAAATATATCAATATACAACATAGTATGTCTGAAGATTTTAATTTTTTAATATTTTTTATTGTTCAACACACACACACACATATATATATATATTAAAAAAAAAAGCGTCAGGTGGTCATTTGATAAAAAATCGCCTCAGGATACTGTAAGGTTGAAAACAAGGTAAGAATATTCAACTAACCTCCTGATTTTTAAAGTTAAAAGCTCTACATGTTATTTTACTTTTGTTTTTTTTCACATACGTATTGAGCACATTTAAATACTACTGTTTCCTGATCTGATGTAACACTGGCGATTAAGCTTTTATGTATTATATGCACACATACACACACTCATGTATATATTATATATATGTGGCAATCTGTTTTGTGTCTGAATGCAATCTTCAGGCCATGTTTTGGCTTGACTATATATATGCTTGTTAATGGTGCATTATGGGTAGCAAGGTCTATTGTATTATCCCAACAGTTATTGGGTAGATGGTAAAGGTTATATTTCAAATTATTCTGGAGGATATTGAGTAGAAATCATTGAAATTATTTATTTTATTTTAGAAATTGTTTATTTATAATATAAAAAAAATTAAAATAATTTTAAAAATTCAATAATTAAAGAAAAAATCTAAATAATAAACAAATTAACAAACTACGAATACACATATAAACACAAGTAAATGTAATAATAACAATTAACAAATAATTAAGTAATAAATAATGACTAAAAAAAGTTAACAATCAACATTATATAAAATAGCTACAAATAACTGCATTCGGATTCACAATTATTTCTACTAAATAATTTCTAGAATAATTTGGAACATAACTGTTGCCAGCCACCCAATAACAGTTGGGATAATACAACCTGATACCTATGATGCACTATTTCTCTGCATTTATAACTAATCGAGCCCAATTGCAAAACATGGCCAGAAGCTGACTTCCAAGCATGTTAAAGACTGTCGCCACTCGGTTTTTACTTCAGTGTCAGCATATACATACATATATATATATATATATATATTTGCATAGTAAAAATCATTTCCAATGCATTTTCATGGTAAGACTCATTGGCCAATGAATTTTCATAGTAAAAATCATTTCCAATGCATTTTCATGGTAAGAATCATTGGCCAATGCATTTTCATAGTAAAAATCATTGGTCAATGCATTTTCATAGTAAAAATCATTGATCAAAGCATTTTCATAGTAAAAATCATTGGCCAATGCATTTTCATAGTAAAAATCATTGATCAATGCATTTTCATAGTAAAAATCATTTCCAATGCATTTTCGTAGTAAAAATCATTTCCAATGCATTTTCGTAGTTGTTGTAACTGAGAAAGGGTCACTGAATGAGGAATAACCAAAACAGAGTTTAGAAATGGTAATCTGGCTGCTGGTCTAGCATTTTAAAGTCTCTGACTGATGCCAAATCGGCTTGAAGCAATCAGATGTCTAGCCACATGGCTCCTGAAATATCAATTTCAGTTGAGCTCTCTGGGGACGAGGTGTGGGTTGGTAAACAGTGACTATTATAGCTATATAGCGAGACTCTTCGCAGATGCGAATTGAGTCACTGTCGGTCACTGGGCGTGTTTCTAAAAATAAATATGCTAAAAATCCACTTTCATCCCTACCGTGCGCCGACGGCTTAATGGTTAGAATCTCCGACTGACACCAATTCAGTCGGGTTTCGATTCTAGCTAGAGGCTAGTCTAGCCACACTGATGAGCTGTGAAACAGTGAAACTGTCTGTCTGTGGATGACGTTTTTATATATATATATATATATATAAGTAAAAACTTATCAAATAACACTATAAAATAGCTACAAATAACTGCATTCAAATTCACAATTATTTCTACTAAATAATTTCTAGAATAATTTGAAACATAACCATTGCCACCCACCCAATAACAGTTAGGATAATACGCCCCCCCCCCACTCTACTAAATCTCAATTTTCACAAGGTTGTATTCATATAAAATACAAATTCTATTGTAACCTAATTATGTACAATAATGGATCATATGCAATATAGGTGAACAATTCAACTAGAAAAATTGAAAATAAATACAATGTATCTATATACAAATTCGAGATATGTCATAATAGATCATTCCAGCAATTTATTTTTCTTGTTTAAAAAGTTGAATAATTTTAATACATTCAACATTTTGGATAAAATAATAGTAAATTTTATATAGTGTATTTTCAAGGCTTGCTATGAGCAAAACTAATTCATGGATTTGTACAAAAAAAAAAAAAAAAAGTCCCCAGAATTATGTCAAAATCTGCAAAAACTTTTCATCCTTTAATAGTCAGCTATGCTTAGTTTAATTTGTAACCTATATCAATGTCAGTAGAAAAAAAGCAAATGTTGATGGCAAGGATCCCAAAGTTCTGCCTGGGGCTCCTTATTAGGCTCTCCACCATTTAAAGTGTGGGTTCTGGGGTTGTATGCACTGGCCCTGATATTACTCAAAAAACCAAATACATTACAAAAATAAATTTTCATTTTTCGTTATTTCAAGTTATATATGCATCTTTCTGTGCATGAATAATGGAATAAAAATGACCCACTATAACTATTTTGTATTATAAAAAAAAAAAAAAAAAAAAGATTTATTTCTACCTTTCTTAAATGTACATATTGTCTTAAAACTTTTCTTTGTAGTAATGGCTGAAAATTTTTTTATACCATAAAAGTATACTATATGCATATAACAGTATGAAAGGGGTGAGTATATATGAGAGGGTCTTACTTTAATATTTATGGGAAAAGGAGCAGGACGGTGGTGTCCTCTATGTACCAAGTGAACCTTGTGGTTTTTTTCTCTGCCCTACCAGTCAGTCATTTATGTGCCATGCGTGATACACGATTAGGCAATCATGTATCTTTCGATACATGACTGACAAGGCAGATTTTTTCCCACAGTAGATTGCCATTTCTTTCTGCGGTAGATCAGTTGCCATCCAAGGCTATAGAACCCAGTCTGTCCTGCTATTTACCCATAGCTGGGTGGAAAAGAAGAGGCAGATTTTTTTCCTGCCATAGATTGCCAATTCTTTCTGTAGCAGACCAGTTGACATCCAAGGCTATAGAACCCAGTCTGTCCTGCTATTTACCCATAGCTGGGTGGAAAAGAAGAGGATTCATTTTTTTCCCCAAGGCCAATTCTTTTTAGCACAGTTGACATCAAGGTTATAGAAAGTAAAATGGATTTGACTGGGATTCAAAATACCTATTACAGCAAATTCAATATCATGGTCAAATAACCATGGGAAATGTATAAATCCTCTACCACTGGGGCCAAATTATCCTTTTACGCTAATATAGGCTGCAGCCTAGGGCCCCTCAAGCTTTTATAAGGAATAGATTTTAATTTTGTATATGTTATAACTTTTAAACAGTTTCATAAACTGTAATGATATCAAAATGACAAACTCCAACTTATTTAGATTATTTTATTGTTATAATACTGGTTATAAAAATTTGTTTCTTACTACAGGTGTATTAAATTTCTTTCTTACTATAGGTGTGTTGAAATATATGCTAATTTGGTTTGCCATAAACAGTGCTAGTATTTCTTAAAGAATATTTTCATTGACAAAAAAACATGATTATTCTAGTTTATTTAAAGAATTTGGAATAAATTTGCTATGTAAATGTTACTAAAATATATCACAAGTAAAAATATTCAAAATGGGTGTGGGCAAGTTAGAGGGCGGGGGGGCTCCATGATTTCATTAGTCAAGATGCCCCAAAAGGCCATAATCTGGCCCTGTCTACTGCTGTGGGCTTGTGATGTTTGACTTAGTCACAGTCTACATAGCAACCTTCATGGACTGACATATCTTCAAGTGTGAAATAGCAACTGGCTTTCAATACTCAATGAATTGATTGCACTCATCAGTGGTCACATGACCCTCATAACTTTGCTTCAATTAATCAACCTTTGCATCACTACACTATGGATGATGTTTCAGGCCCAGCATCCATCATGTCTTGATAAGCGTATTTGAGAATGGCAGTCACACCTTCACTTTGCATAGATGAAGTTTGATGCTTGCTAGGTAGATTTTAGGTTATCCTTCTTTGCTTGTTCCCCTCTGACTATTTGGCAAATGTCATCTCAAATTTGAGGAGGTCTTTCTGCACTGCCAGCCTCCAGGGTTATCATTTGGCAGCTACAGCTTCCAATGTGCCTGAGTTGATGCCTTACACTCCTCTTACAAATATCTTTGTAGTGTAGTGTAGTTGTGGTTTGACTATGAGTTGTCTTTCCAAAGCCAGTTCTCTATACAAGAAGTCCTTGGGCGTTTCTTCATTTTTACAGGATGATCTTTTCGTGGTTACAGCTTCCCATGTGTCTGGCTTGATGCATGGGGTCTGGAGGTCTTTTTTTTTACATATATGTTTGTAGTGATTTTGGAGTCAGTTGATGGAGTGATTTCCCAGAGTGTACAAAAGGTCATTGGGTATTTGTTCATTTGCACAAGATTTTACAAACAATATTTCTAATGAAAAAGATTGAGTAAATGATTTCAGAACTTTATTTGATTTTGACTTTTTATATAATTATAATTTTTATTAATTTATTTTAATTATTTTTGTTTATTACTAACAGTATTATTATTAGTATTAACATATCTATTTAATTTTTTAATGAATGTTTTAATTTAAAATTCATTTAAAACTTTATATATTTAATCTTTATGTATTGTGGGTTATGTCAAATTTTTACACATTTTCAGTTTATTTACTTTTGGAAATATGCAGTTTTTAATAATATTGACAAAAACACTTATTTCTATTTTTAATTTTAACATTTAAAATTTTATAAATTTATATGTATATTTATCTATAAATTTTAGCATTTAGATAACAAATTTTAACAGTTAACATTTTTAATTCTAACATTTAAACTTGATCAATTTTATAAATTTATGTATATATGTACATTTATAAATTTTAACATTTAAATTAGCAATTTTATTAATATATGTGTTTGTTTATATATTGATTTATAAATTTTAACATTTAAATAGTATTTATTTTTAATTTCATCATTTATTTTTCAACAAAATTGGCTGTAATTTTAGTTTTTTGTTTTTTTTTTTTTTTTTTTTTTTGAAGTAAGTTCCCTTGATTTCAGTTTTATTTTTAATACTAAAGGGCTTTGCTATAAGAAAGACACTAGGATAGTATAGCTGGCCTTGGTTGGTATCCTAAGACTATTTTTTTTTATTTAATTAAAAAAAATGAAAAAAATATCATCTGACTGGAGTGGAAATATCCCGATTTTTAAGTGCAAAAAGAAATTTGTTTTTTTATGGCAGCCATTTTTTAAAGGGCGGTAACTCTATAAAAAAAATTTCCTTTTAGCATCTAATTTAGAAATACATATAAGGTTCAAAATAATTCTTTTATTTATTTTGTAAACATGGAATATTTTTTTTCAAAACGTGATAGGTGGATATTTTACTATTCAAGGAAAATTTTTAAAAATAATTCAGATAAACTATATTGAGGAGAAAAAAGCAATTATTTTTTGACAAAGTCTTTTAAAAACCTTTGGACCCATAAAAAACAGTGGGTCAAAAAGATGGTTTTTCTTTTGAAACTACTAACAATTTTTTTTTTTTTTTTTCTTACAGTAAGGTTCACCTTGTACAAGGCCTGGTGGGGACACTCGAGGACTGTATACCTCCTTGACTCATTTGAAAATGTATATTATTTTAAAAGTCTGTTTAGTATTTTAATAACCATAAAAATGTTACTCTATTTACATTATTCGGACTATTGTCCTCATCTTTGCCATATTTATCCCAATGTTTGACCATTGTACACTCTAGCCTTCTTCAGATGGTTGGAATGTCAAACTGAACCCTTTATTTCGCTCTCTGGGATAAACTGTTCTAGTTCCACGTGCCATGTCTAATGGATATCAGTTATCCTGTTAATTCTCCTTTTCAAGTTCTCCACCGCCTTAACCAGGTATTGAACTCACACTCTTTGGGTCCTGTCACTGGATTTAACTAACACCTTTATCCACCGTGCCATGTGTCCTTGAGGACAATAATGTAAATAGTGTACATAATACCTCATCTCAGAAATATAGACAGATACTGAAAAATGTTACTATTTAATTGTTAATATGGGAAAATTAGTGACTCCCAATATGAGTCGTAAAAGGAATGAATGGTGTGAGAAATGAACCGTTTAAAAAGCATTCTTACATTATACAATGAAAATAAGATGAGAGAATTGCTAAACATATTCTTTTAGCAGTTAATATCATGGCATCGGGGATGAAGTCCAAATACATGTATCTGTTTGAAACACTTATCTGAAGTTGATCAGATCTCTTTTTCTGATGACTGCTTGTCGATGTATTATTCAGGTTTGTTCATAGCCAGCAACATCTGTTTTTTGGAGTAGGCTAAAATGCATCCATTCACATAGGTGGCCTTCAAGCCTCTCACCTTTAGTGCCTAAATTTAGGTTTTACCCATTATTATAAGATAAATGGATTCATCTTCCCTCTCAGAAGTCGTTTCAACCAAAGGGAGATAACCTATATTTTTCATATTAGATTATAAAACAATATGAACCAACTATAATGAAATTTTTATTCTTACCCATTTCATAAAGAAATGAATACAAAAAGAAAATTAAATCATAAATTTATATAAATGACTATGAACAAAAAAATTTAAAAGAACACATAAGGATTAGTAACCATTGTAAATTGCAATGTATAAGTTGACCTCAAGATTTTTTAGCTCAAAACATACAGTAGGTTACTAGTCGCCCCAAACTTTGACCTACTGGTAAATGAAATTAGGCTATAGTATATGATAACCTGTGTCAAAATTACATAAGGTCACACCAATTACCAATTATAAATTTTGAAAAAACATATTTTCTAATTATTTCTTTCATTTGTTCTTGCCGCATAAACTCACTAAAATAGACTGAGAACTTTCCTCCTTCTTTCTTTCCTCCTTCTTTCTTTCCTCCTTCTTTCTTTCTTTTTCTTCTTTCTTTCCTCCTTCTTTCTTTCCTCCTTCTTTCTTTCTTTTTCTTCTTTCTTTCCTCCTTCTTTTTCTTTCCTTTCTTTCTTTCTTTTCTTCTTTCTTCTTTTTTTTTTTCTTTTCTTCTTTCTTTCTTTTTTCTTCTTTCTTTTTTTTCTTTTTCTTTCTTTTTCTTCTTTTTTCTTTTCTTCTTTCTTTCTTTTTTCTTCTTTTTCTTTCTTTTTCTTTCTTTTTTTCTTCTTTCTTTTTCCTTTTCTTTTTCCTTTTTTCTTCTTTTCCTTTTTTTCTTTTTCTTCTTTCTTTCTTCTTATTGAGACTCTAGCCATAATATCTTCTATATGAGTTGTATAGCAAACAACCTACAACACACACCAGTAGGTACCGTATATTGCATTGCTATGTTATCAAACATTTAAAATTCATCATCAGGTCTACTGATAAACAGATTAAAGTCAACATCAATGCCTATAAAATATTATGAATGTGGCAATAACGATAAGGACACTAACCCAGACAATGTAAATAAGTGCTAGTTAGTTTATGACACAAATTTAAGACACTAAAAGCTAGTTACCATAAATTGCAATGTACAAGTCAACCTGGTATACAAATCATATATACCTACCATATAGGTAGACCCCCAAAACTTAGACTGACTGGTAAATGAAGTTAGGCTACAGTATACAATAACCTGTGACAAAACTACACAAGATCACAACAATTACCTGTATATTGAGACGCTAACTGTATCTTTGTATATTAGTTCTATAGCAAACAACTTACAACACAATGATAGGTACTGTATATTGTATTGGTATAACTTAATAAACATTTAAAAATTGTTGGTCAACATCAACTTCTATAAAACCTTAACAAATACATTACACATCATGCCAGGTAGTTTTTTTTAATATTGTATGTTATTGTGGTGTACAGGAATTGTTAGGAAAGATGTTTCATTTGTTTACAAATTGATAGCAATGGTTTGCATTTTATGCCCACCATATAAGTTGACTCTAGTTTTGGAAAGATGTTTTTAGGCTTGAAAAGTTGATTTGTATGCCACAATTTATGGTCATTATAAATTTTGAAAAAACATTTTCTAAGCATTTCTTTCATTTGCTCTTGCTGGATAAACTCAGTAAAATAGGTTAAGAACTTTTTTTCTTTTTTTTACTTCTTTCTTATTTTTTTTCTTCTTTCATTTTTTTTTCTTTCTTTTTTCTTCTTTCTTTCTTTTTTCTTTTTCTTTTTTCTTCTTTCTTTTTTCCTTTCTTTTTTCTTTTTTTTTCTTCTTTCATTTTTTCTTTTTTTTTCTTCTTTCTTTTTTTTTTTTTCTTTCTTTTTTTTTCTTTTTCTTTTTTTCCTTCTTTCTTTTTTCATCTTTTTTTTTTTTTTTCTTCTTTTTTTCTTTTTTTTTTTTCTTTTTTCTTTTTCTTTTTTTCTTTTTTCTTTTTTTTTTTCTTTTTTTTTTTTCTTTTTTCTTCTTTTTTCTTTCTTTTTTCTTCTTTCTTTTTCTTTTCTTTTTTTTTCTTTTTTTTTTCTTTTTCTTTTTTTCTTTCTTTTCTTTCTTTTTCTTTTTTCACCTTTTTTTTTTCTTTTTTCTTTTTCTTTTTTTTTTTTTCTTTTTTTCTTCTTTCTTTTTTTTTTCTTTTTTCTTTTTTTTTCTTTCTTTTTTTTTTTTTTCTTCTTTCTTTTTTTTCTTTCTTTTTTTTCTTCTTTTTTTTTTTTTCTTTTTCTTTCTTTTTTTTCTTTTTTTTTTCTTTTTTTCTTTTCTTTTTTTCTTTTTTTCTTTTTCTTTTCTTTTTTCTTTCTTCTTTCTTTTTTTTCTTTTTCTTTTTTTCTTTTTTTTTTGTCTTCTTTCCTTTTGTCTCTTTTTTTTCTTTTTTTTTTTTTCTTTTTTTTCTTTCTTTTATTTTCTTTTTTTTCTTTCTTTTATTTTCTTTTTTTTCTTTTTTCTCTTTAATATTATATTTTTGTCAGTTCACATATTTTTATAATCTTCTAAATAATCTAACAGCTAAACAGTTGTGTAAGCATAGCTTTTTAAACAATAAATATTGCTGAGGGAGTGATATGTCCCAGAAAGGGATATATTTGAACGAAGTAGCTAAGTGGTTTTGGCTACTATAACCAAGTAGAATATGGTAACAGTAATCGACTGGTACGCGTCATAGTCGCATGTAAGAAGTGTAGATCAATGGCATAGTCCAATGGGCGTCATTATAGACTTAGCTCTCAGACTAAGGCTCTGACTCACCTACATGTCCGTCAGTATTTATGACGGACACCAGCCATGCATATTCCATTATAGCAGGGAGTCAAGAGAGTATACAGCAAAAACTATGTTGAAAGGTGAAACATTTTTTGGCATAACGTTTTTTTCTGATTCAAAGGTTAATCCCACCTTTTTTTTTTTTTGTTATTTTATTTGATTATGAATCCATTAACTGGATAGGCGAGTTTTGAATAAGACAAAATCAGAGAAAGCACTTAGATCATAACCAAATTTTCCAAAGTCAGTTACTTTGTTTCTAATGATTCTTTATTTCTTTTACTGATGTCACAGTTCATTACTTCCAGGTCATCCTTGGGCAAGTTGAAATATTTATCAGCCTATTCAACTTATAAAATCATTTTTTTTTTCATCTGCTGTTTATTTTCTTAACCTAATCATATTGCTGAGACGTTTTCACTTTCAAATTTAAAAAAAAAAAAGAAAAAAAAAGTAACTCGTATATAAACAGTTGGATTCAAATTTGGCGAAATCTCAAGCAACCTGCCAGTTAGAACCTTCATAGTTAGGACCCACCATGTTGCTCATATAGTGAACCACCCTCATTCCCTCTGTATTCCTTTGGTGAGAAGTAAGTTCCACTCAAACAGCTTCTTCTCATGAACCATTGCTCTGTGGAACCGACTCCCAAGAGGGTGTTTTCCTGATCACTACAATCTTAAGCTGTTCAAGTCTAGTGTTAACTGTCATCTTCCCCACCTATTTGCATAAAATGTGCTTCTTACTCTGTAATCCTCTACCTCGAGTGGCTCTCGGGCCTTATACAGGGTGACCCACACTGTAACAAAAAACTCCACTCCTAGCATCAATGTTTGTTTAACAGCATATTAACTCCTTATTTAATGAGAAAATTTAATTTTATTGGGAGATAAGAAGTAATAAAAATCCAATGTATGTTATTCTGCTTTCACAGTTGAATCCATGGTAGATGATACTCAGCTTTTGTGCATATACATGTTTGTGTGGACATAATTACTGGAGACAGTGATATATGTGTTTATGTTGTAATTTTGTTGAAGTTATATATTGGAATACAGTTTGATTTAAGAAATTGTAGGATATTATATGGATTAATCTCATGAAAGAATTCTTTCCTGCAGATTGATTTTGTTTAGTGGCATAATATTATGGCTTCAAAATTGATATATGTTATTCTGCTGTCACAATTGAATCCATGGTAGATAATACTCAGCTTTTGTGTATATACATATTTGTACTAGATATATGTGTTTGATATATATGTTTTATGTTGTAGTTTTGTTGAAGTTATATTTTGGAATACAATTTGATTTCTTTAAGAAATTCTAGGATATTATATGGATTAATGTCATGAAAAAGTTCATCTTGGTTATTTGGTTGATTTTGTTTCACAGCATATCAACTTCTATGGGTTATTTAATGCCAAAATCTACAGATAAAATGTATTGTTGGTCATCTTACTATAAATAAATATTAATGTGAAAAAAAAGATTAAACAAAGACTTAATAAGTCTGTTACATAGAGCAAAGTTTATGTCATGTATTTACGTCGTCTTGCATAATAACAGTGTCATTACTAGAAATTAATTTGTGGCAGGAACATAACTGGGTCATACAATAGAAGCTGCTAGACTTTGGCATGCAGATTTTTACTCGATACACATATTTCAATTGCATCTAAATCAGTGATATTTCTAGAAATCTGTGTGTGTGTGTGTGTGTGTGTGTGTGTGTGTGTTGAGGTTGGCAAAACCAAAAGTGAATGTAAGGAGAATTTTTTTTTTAATTATTATGCATTACCTTGCCAATTTATACAAATTTCAGGAATTATTTTTTAAAAATGTTATCATACTTTATTAAATAAAATGAAGTAATATTTGTTATAACACTTTATTTAGTCGTATTTTATTGAATAAAGTGTTTTGCCAAAGCATAGTAGTAGCAATGAAAAGTTAGTTTACAAATAATATCCACAGATTTAATGTAGTTTAATTCTGTGAACTATCAAATTCATCCAGATAAATATTATAAACAGGTATAATTTATGAAAATGAACAATGGCTTGGGTACTATGCAGGTTTTTTTTTGTTTTTTGTTTTTTTTGTTTTTTTTTTTTTTTTTTTTTTTTTTTTTTTTTTTTTTTTTTTTTTTTTTTGTTTTTTTTTTTTTTTTTTGTTGTTTTTTTTTGTTTTTTTTTGTTTTTTTTTTGTTTTTTTGTTAATCTGTGATTATGAAAATATATATAAACTGCCTTCCTAGATTATAATGTATAAAAGTATTGGGCTAGGGGCAAATATAGGCCAGGCAAAATGGGAGTTTCTTCTTGAACCTCCAACCACTGTAGAATCGCCAATGATATAAATTGCCAAAATTTTCAAGAACAATATGTTATGATATTTAAATTGAAGAAAATTTAGTTTCCACTTTTGTTTTTTTCATTGTCTTTCATGTTTTTTAAAAAATTGAAAATTTTATCTCTATCTTTGCTTGCAAGCCAATAACAACAGATATGAGGTCGCTTATATTGATAATGATAATAATGATTAATATTGGTAAGATGCAAAAATTGACGTCATTCATTTTGTTGCTTCAGTTGATCTTCTCTCTGGCCATCTTCAGGTATATATGCCATCAGAAATGAGGAGAGAAATTTTTTTGGTAGCACAATACAAACAAAAACCAAAAAATAATAAAGATATTGTCAACCTACTTCAAGTGTCCAGTATAACCATCTGAAGTCTTATGTTGACAAAAATGAAAAGAATGAATTCAGTTGTCCAAAAAATTCTTGGAATGTTAATAACTTGTCTCAGAATTACAAATCTTCAGGTTAGTAGGCTTAATAATTTATTTAGGAAAGTATAAAATAACTGTGAAGGTCTTGTATTATTTACATTATTTGGACTGTTATCCACATCTTCATTGTCATATTCACATAGAACTAGAACAATTTACCCTGGTGGATGAAATAAAGGCTCTGTTTTGAAATTCCAATCACCTGAAGAAGGCCAGAGCATACAATGTCCGAAATGTTAAAGT